CTGATCTTAGGGGAAAAGCTTTCAGTTTTTCACCATTGAGTATGATATTGGCTGAGGGTTTATCATATATGGCCTTTATTAAGTTGAGGTACTTTCCTTCTATTCCTATTTTATTGAGTGTTTTAATCATAAATGGATGTTGTATCTTATCAAATGTTTTTTTTCCTGCATCTGTTGACAAGATCATAGGATTTTTATTCTTTGTTTTATTAATGTGGTATATTATGTTGATTGATTTATGAATGTTGAACCATCCTTGTGCCCCTGGAATGAATCCTACTTGATCGTGATGTATTATTTTTTGGATGTACTGTTGTATTCGATTAGCTAGCATATTGGTTAGGATTTTTGCATCTGTATTCATCAGGCATATTGGTCTGTACTTTTCTTTTTGTGTTATCTTTGCCAGGTTTTAGTATTTGGGTTATATTGGCCTCATAGAATGTGTTAGGAAGTATTGCCTCTTCTTCAATTTTTTGGAAGAGTTTGCGAAGACTAGGCTTTAATTCTTCCTTGAACGTTTGGTAGAATTCACTGGTGAAGCCATTTGGTCCTGGACTTTTGTTCTTTGAGAGGGTTTTGATGGTTGTTTCAATTTCCTCACTGCTGATGGGTCTATTTATATTTTGCAGTTCTTCATGATTTATTCTAGGAAGGTTATATATTTCTAGGAACTTATCCATTTCTTTTAGATTATTGAATTTGGTGACATAAAGGCTTTTGTAATATTCTAGTATGATCCTTTGTATATCTGTGATGTCTGTGGTGATTTCTCCTCTCTCATGTCTGATTTGTTTTATATGGATCTTTTCCCTTTTTTCCTTAGTGAGTCTAGCCAGGGGTTTGTCGATTTTATTAATCTTTTCAAAAAACCAGCTCTTTGTTTTATTAATTTTTCTACAATCTTTTTGTTCTCTATTTCATTTAATTCTTCTCTGATTTTTATTATTTTCCTTTCTTCTGCTAACTTTGGGTTGCTTTTGTTCTTCTTTCTCTAGTCTTTTTAGGTGTGATGTTAGGTTGTTTACTTGGAACTTCTCTTGTTTTTTGAGATAGGCCTGTAGTGATATAAACTTCCCTCATTACAGTTTTCGCTACATCCCAGAGGTTTTGATATGTTGTGTTATCATTCTCATTTCTCTCTATATATCTTTTGATCTCATCTTTTATTTCTTCTTTGACCTAGTCATCTTTTAGTAGTATGTTGTTTAATCTCCATGTATTTGTAGGTTGTTTTTTTTTACCTCCTTTTTGCAGTTGATTTCTAATTTCATGGCATCGTGGTCAGAAAATATACTTGGAATAATTTCAATCTTTTTGAATTTGTTGATGCTTGTTCTGTGACCCAACATATGGTCTATCCTTGAGAATGTTCCATGTGAACTGGAGAAGAATGTATAGTCTGATGTTCTGGGATGAAATGTCCTGTAAACTGTATTTAAAGGGCCAGAAGGTTGGTTATATCCATTTGGTGTCGTGTTTCATTTAAAGCTGATTTTTTTAATTGATTTTTTTGTTTGGTTGATCTCTAGAGCTGTCAATAAAGTATTAAGGTCTCCAACTATAATTGTGTTTTGATCTGTTTCTGCCTTTAGTTCTGTGAATAGCCGCTTAATATATTTTGGTGCTCCCTGGTTGGGCGCATATATATTAAGAAGTGATATGTTTTCTTGATGTAGTGTTCCCTTTATCATTATAAAGTGTCTATATTTGTCTCTTGTCATCTTTGTTATCTTGAGATTTATTTATCAGATATAAGTATGGCTACACCTGCTTTTCTGTGGATGTTATTTGCTTGGAGAATAATTTCCCACCCTTTTACTTTGAATCTGCCTTTGTCTTTGCTGTTTACATGTATCTCTTTTAGGCAGCATATGGTTGGGTTTTGTTTTTTTATCCACTCTGCTACTCTGTGCCTCTTTACTGGTGAATTCAGACCATTTACATTTAGGGTAATTATTGATGTATGAAGATTTCCTATAGCTATTTTACCTTTTGTTTTCTGGTAGCTCTGTGCCTCAATTGGTTCTTTTTCTTTATGTTTCTGTCTGTTGCATTTTTTGGTGGTATTCCATACATCTTTCCTCTGTTTCTTTTTTTTTTTAAGCTATATGTCTTGTTTGGGAAATTTCTGTGTGTGATTGCCATTAGTTTTATAAAAAGTGAAGTTGCATATATACCATAGTTTTTTTTCTTCTTTTGAGTACATCTGATCTTCATCTTCCTTTGCCTGTCCATACCTGTCCCTCTTCCCCTTGTATGTTTTTATTGTCACACATTATCCCTGTTTATGCTGCGAGTTTTTGGCAATCCTACTGGTAGTGTTATGACCTTATGTTCTTTGTTTCAGGTAGAATAACTCCCTTGAGTATTTCCTGCAATGGAGGTTTCTAGTAATAAAATCCTTCAGTTTCTGTATGTCTGGGAATGTTCTTATTTCTCCTTCATTCACTCTTAATTTCTTTAATTGCCTGCTTCATTTCCATGATTTCTGCTATATTCTTTTTTAACAATTCAATTTCTTTGGAGAAATACTCATTTTGTTCATTGATTTGTTTTCTGAGTGAGCTGAATTGCCTGTCAGTATTTTCTCGCATCTCATTTAGTATTTTCAGAACTGCAATCTTGAAATCTCTGTCATTCAACTCACATAATTCTATGTGTTCCAGCCTGTTTTCTGGGGATTTTTCATTTTCTTTCTGGTCATTGTCGTTGTTGTGGTTGTTCATGGTGTTTGCTGTTCTACTTCGTTTTCCCATTTATCTCTGAGGATGTCTTTCTACTCTGTTCCAGTACATAGCACTGAATTGTAAAATGTTTTTTCCTCTGTGGCCTCACAGTTTTGAGCCTCTGCAGCTTCCGTAGGGTTGTACTGCCTTTGCTGCTTGGGGGTGAGGTTTGTTTTTCCCTCATGGTAATGGCAGTCCCTGACCTCCAAAGGTCTAGCCCAAGCACCCCTCCTGGGGTTCAGTCACAGAGGGAAACTGTGTTTCTACTGCAACAGCTATTGGCCTACAGACAATACACTCCTGGAAACAATCCAAGGGCAACAGGAGGCGAGACCTGGGAGTCTAATCAGTGTCAGGGCTCTGCAATCTACTTTCTTTGCCTGAAAGCCAGCAGCCAAGCCCAGCTATGGGAAGCGACTCTGTAAGGAGAGTGTCTGCTGACTGTCAGCTCACGCATGCAACTCAGATCCCATTCACAACGTGCCCCCACGGGTCAGACACTCTCTCTGTTTGTGTGCGTGACCACACAATGCTGCCACTCCAGTGGCTATTCCGACAGCCAGCCACTTGTTGGGTTAGCTCTGCTGGTCCATACCGGCTGAGGAAACTGCCGGTAACTGCTGCTGTCAGTTCCCAGCTGCACTGTGGACACGCTGCTGCGCTGTAGCTGTGTTTGGCTTCCCTCCTTTCTCTCATCTCCCTACTTATTCCAAGGAGCCCACCTTAGTTGTTCAGTGTTCAGGTCTCTCGGGTGTGCATCTGTGTTGAGCAGAGACTTCTTTGTTGAATTATAGGTGGTTATTTTGTTGAAAAGTTAGGGGGAGAGGATAGACGCACCCTTACGCTGCCATTCCTTTAATGTCACTCCTGAGCCATATTCTATTGTGTATATGCAACATTTATTCTTTATCCATTTATCAATGGATGGACACTTAGGTTGCTTCCATATTTTGGCTATTGTAAATAATGCTGAAATGAACGTATATATGTCAGCTAAAATTTGTTAAAAATAACTGTGGCCCAGCCGGTATGGCTCAGCAGTTGCACATGGACCCAGGAACTAAGAGGTTGCTGTTTTGATCCCTGGTCAGAACACATGCCCGGGTTATGGGGTTGATCCCCAGTAGGGGGCGTGCAGGAGGTAACTGATCAATGATGCTCCTCTCTATCATTGATGTTTCTATCTATCCCTCTCCCTTCCTCTCTATAAAAATCAATAAAAACATATTAAAAAATAAAAATGAATAAATAAAAATAACTGAATAAATAATAGAAATAATCTGTTAATTTAATTATAAGCAAATCTTGATAAAAGTATCTTAAAATTAACAGGATGTTAATTTTCACATGACATATGGACCAAAAATTGTGTCCATTAAATTTGAATTCCAGCCCAGCCAGTGTGGCTCAGTGGTTGAGCATCAACTTATGAACCAGGAGGTCACAGTTCGATTTCCAATCAGGCACATGCCCAGGTTGTAGGCTCGATCTCCAGTAGGGGACATGCAGGAGGCATCCAATCAATGATTCTCTCTCATCATTGGTGTTTCTATCTATCTTTCCCTCTCCCTTCCTCTCTGAAATCAATAAAATATATATATTTAAAAAAATTCAAAGTCCATTATATTGAGGTCCACAAAATCCAGGGTTTACTGCAGTTTTATTGAAGAATTCTGGCTTCTACAAGAGCATTTTCAGAAAACAAAACCAATGCCAACAGCTGGTTGTTGTACTGGGCAACCAATCTATACTGAACACAAGTGTTCTGGGAGCTCATGGAAACTCCTCCCTGTCTTCATACACACAATTTTCTATTCCCAGGTCAAATTCAGGTTCAGAAGACAGTTTTTTAGCCTTTAATAGTGATGTGAATGGTAGAAAGTTGAGGCAGAAAATTAAGAGAAATACTGCTGTATAATCCTATCTAATAAAAGAGAAACATGGTAATTAGCCGTACGGCCACTACCCTTCCCATTGGCTAATCAGGGTGATATGCAAATTAACTGCCAGCCAAGATGGTGGCTGGCAGCCAGGCAGCTTAAAGCTAACAGGAGGCTTCCTTGCTTCAGTGACGGAGGAAGCCAAGCTTCCC